TCTTTCCTGCTATGCAGGGGGAAGGACTCGATGATCTGTTGAGGTCCCTTCTGACCCTAACATCTATGAATCTATGAATCCCCTGCCATATGGACACCCCAGCATGGCTTTCCCCCAGTTCTCCCACTGCGCCCAGTGTGCCTCTCTCCCACTGCATGGGCAGTGTAGCACACCTCCCTGTCCCTGCCACACATATTTCAGGGGCTGCCTGGCTCAGCCTGGCTTCCCCACTGAACTGTATACCCCCCGCTTATCTCCCAGCCATGTGTGCCACCCATCTGCCATGTGGGCAGCCCATCCCTGTCCCCCACCATAGAGCACAGGTACCCTGCCCACCACCAACCATGCATGCATCTCTGACATCTCAGCAGAAAGGAGCCCATAGGTTGTATGCTAACCCTTTGGGTGGTTGGGCAGCACATCTCTTCCTTGGTTCCCCTCTGCTGCAGGGACAGCCCTGTTGTAAGTTATTACTTATAATAAAAATACCTAAATCAGAATAAAACATTTCAGTTTTATAGGAACAAACTCTTTCAGTTGACCTTGACTTTTTATTATTTTACATTTCCTTGTATATAAAGTTTAATTCATTTTCGGGTACTGGAAAAACAACTATTTTAATAACAGAATTTCCCATAAAAAGAAGAATTACAGCTCCTGCCCAGTTCTACTCAGTACATAATGCACAGATGTTACTTACTAATGCAAATTTTTTGTTGAGAATCATCTGCTCCACTAGTGAAGACTCATTATGGAAAAGATGAGGCTGCATGTGACTCCACATATGGGGAAACCACCAGAATTCATCCACTGACCCCAACAACAGGTCATCACCTTCATCCTCTTCTTCTGTTCCTGCAGAGAAATCCCCAAGAACAATATCTCCAGTTTTGTTACAGGGTTAAAATCGTTAAGAAAAAATAAGCTGAATATTAGTCATATAAAGTATGATGTATGAAATATTATTTCAAAATGATTGCAAATACGAGTTTCAAAACCTCCTAAATACATTAAAATAATAATAAAAAATAAAGCACCACCAAGCTTCTGTTAGATAGATCTCAAATAAGTAGTTCAGCATTGCCTTTTCATTCAACCAGTTAGACGACAGTGCTATATGGGGGAGGGGGAGAAGATAACCTATTAGTAAAATAACCTATGTAGAAGGTGGTGTATAAAGAGGTTAAGAGAAAGTATTTACAAATCCTTTTCAGGATTCTTTATCTAGATCATCCCCACTGCAATCAGGTCTATTATCCTTTTTACATTACCTGAGCCAGTGGCTCTCAGCCAGGGTGCCACATTGCAGGTATTGCAGTGTGGGCCAGGTAAAACTGCCCCATGTGCAGGACTCTGACATGTGCAATCCTCCTGCTTTAGGATTCCCTGATAGCCCCTAAAGCAGACAGAAGAGCCAGCTCTAGCTGTAACCCTTCCCAGTCTGCTCCCCACCCCATGCTCCTTCCAAAAAACAGAAATTCCTGGGTCAGTTCCACCTGCCCTGCATGCTCCTGACTCCAGGAGATACCACGTAGGGTTGGACTGGGAAGGATGGCAGTATCAGCTGGCCCTCCTGCCTGCTTTTAGGACTAGCAGAGAACTCTAATGAGGCAGGAGGGTACACACTTGTGCCATAGTCCTTCCTGGTCTGGCTGTACAGTAGGCATGCAGGGCAGTTTTACCAGCATGGTGACACCCAGTTGAGAACCGCTGAGGTAAACTGAGAACAACAGTGGTGCTGCCACATTCAAGTTGGGGAGGGATGCTCTGACTGGAAAGAATGAGACCACTAACTCTAGCTATTCTGTAACATTCTCCTACCAGCCTCTTCAGGGTATCGTATATGAGCCTAATTGTTGCTTCATCTTGTTCGCTGTGGTTTAACAGAACTCTTGGTATGTCCATTGCTATTTTCTCCTTTTGTATATTCCTATTTCCCATAAACCACACACATTTAAATATCTTGCTTCGGGTCTTTTTCCAAGCATCATGTTGCCATTATAATTTTACGTGAAATGTAATTATTTTATTCACTTTTTTATTGTTCTGACTTCTTTCCTTGCAAAACATTCAGGTACTCTATTTTGTGCACCAGATGTATTGTGCTCTCTCTAGCACTCTATCGCCATTTATGCCTCAATTCATCTCTGCCCCAATTAACATTCTATCCCCTTCATATCTTCCTCTTCTCATCAGTGAATCATGTCAGATTTATTCCTTTGCCATCCACAATTTTACCCTCTCTCCATCAGAGAGAACAGAGCTAGAGAAACATGTGAAAAAGGATAAAATGGGGGCAGTCAGATGTAATGATGCAGCCGTCTGTCTGGGATCATTAGACTTTAGGACTCTATTAAAGCTAGTGGCTGTGTCAGTTTCACAATATGGTCATTTCAGGGGTGATCCAACATCAAGAGTCCAGGACTATAGTAATTATGGGACTATGCTTTTTTACACTTGCCAGCAAAGTAACTAACAGATGTGGCTAAAACTAACCAGGCAAGCAAAAAGAGGACAAGCAACTCAGAAAGAAGCTAAAACCTAAGTATAGGGTTTACTACAGAAGAGACGGTCTCTACTAATTTACCACTCTGCAATGTGAGCCAGTTTGTACTACCAACCTGCAGCAGAGCTGCCCTTACCCAAAAGGAGTTTTAGGAAGGACTGTGTAGCCTCTTAACGATACAGTGTCTGTTTCTTCAACTCTGACATGAACTCGTGTTGTCTTTTCTGCACTTGATCTCTGAGGGCCATATTCTATTTTCCCCCAAATCTCTGGAGTTTTCTTTTTAATTATATCTTCTCTGCATTGCCTTTGCTTATTCACAATTATAGAAAAACATCCAGACTATAGGAAGAATGGTATCCTCTTGCTTTGCAAGACTGGGACCTCAGGGCTTGAGCCTACAAGGAGCACTGAACTCCCTGGAGTCAGTAACAGGTGAAGGTGCCTGAGTAACACCACATACACATAACCTTTCACTATCAGGCTGTTAATCTAGAGCGGGGGGGTGGGGGGGGGAATCTTTTGGCTGGGGTGCCACAAATTATTCCCACACTCTCCCCAATCCCCAAATGCCATGCTATCTCCTTTCCTTGTCCAGTCTTCCAATCTGCTTTCTGACCTGTGCCCCATCTTCTGCTCTGCTTTCTGCTTCCTGCTCTATCTGCCAGTGTGCTGCCTGTCCCCTCCCCAGTCTGCTGTATGCCATACACAGAGACTGCCTGTGTCACTTGTGGCATGCATATTGCAGGTTGGCTATCTTTGATTTAGAGTATCCATCAACATGACCATAAATGGTTTAACTCTCCGGTTTTGTCAAAAGCATTCATATGTAAAGTTCTGAAAATATTACTTATCTAGCTTTCTATGGAAATTACTTTGTTAAATTATAAAACATATCAAGAAATACAGAGAAATTGGAAGGCAATGAATCAAATAGTTTACATGCATACCTGAATCATAAAGTTATGAAAGTTGAATGGATTCTTAACAATTTTTAGAACATTTTAAGCATATCTTACTATGCTTAAAATGTGTGCCTAATCTATCAGAGCACTGTATAAATATATGCAGTACAATTTACATAAATTATATCAGTTTTATTAAAATATAAAATATAGGATAACTGTAAATACGTATTTAAATATTATGTGTAAAACTTCATTCTAAAAAAACAAACAAACATAAGGCCATTTCCCTATTTCTTATTCAGAATAATAAAGTGATACTATATTATTACAGTCATTTCTATGCCCTTTACGCTTTAAAGAATACTAATAACCAAAATAAAAATTATTATAAATTGTAATTCTTACCTGTGTGGTAAAACTTCCCAGAAAATCCCAGGTTGAAAGTAAAATTTGTAATCTGAGATCTCAAAAGATTCTGAGTATCAAGAAGGGCCTGAAATAAACATAAAAAGTGCATCAGATGCAGAAGAACATAGTACTGTAATATAAAGATTGTGCTTTTAATTTCAAATTATTCTCATCATTTTCCATGTATAAAAAGAGATCTTTATTCGTCAGAGCTAAATAATCTGAAATGTCTTCACTTCTTAAGGATTAAAGAGCAAATGTAGCACTGAAGTAAATTACATGCCATTTCATGGAGGTCAAACTTATAACTAGACTTCCCCATGTAAAAATTCCTGTGGTATGTTTTATTTGTAGCTGTCAAAACACTCTTCATGGGATATGAGTATCATTATCCCCATATTACAGTTGGAAAAATGGAAGAACAGCAAGAAGAGATTTTTCCATGTTCACTGTTCCATGTTCACATAGATTCCAGCCTCTTGAGTCCCAAACTATTGAACTTACCCCAGTTCTACCCTCTTAGATACTCTCTGCATCATATATATGTATGTATATTTGTAGGATATTTCATTCTTCTTTAAAATTTACCGGCAAATTTGCTTAAGAGCAGAAAAGGAACTGAGATGAAAACCGAAGCCTATTTTGAACCCAAAAGAAAGCCAGCATAGTGGAATGGCAGAGTTGTAGATGCATTAAGCAGAAAAAAGGCTTCTTTCAAAATGCAGACATCAAATCCCAATGAGGAAACAATAGTGCATAAACACTGGCCAATCTAATGTAAAACTATAATATGACAAGCTAAGAGATAATTTGAGAAACTTGGTAGAGACACAAAAGATAACAATACAAATTTCTTTAAGTACATAAGAAACTGAATACCTGCCAAGGAGTCAGTTGGGCCTTTGGATGATCAGGGTGTAAAAGGTGCCCTAAAGGACAACAGGGCCATGGCTGAGAAACTAAACTTTTTTGTGGTGGTTTTTTTTTATTACTGGGATTTTGCAGTGGGGAAGGGGCAGGTCTGCGCTACCATAACAAGGATTGGGCCCCTCTCAACTCCCCTGCTGTCTGACCCTGGCAGCCAATATCTTAGAAGTGGCTGCCTTTCTGGAATCAGAAGTGAATGTCTGTTTACTTGCTTCCTAGTTAAATCTGTGCAGCTTAGATTAATCTGCAAAGACTGAACTGATCCAGCCTCTGGCTTTTTGACTTCTGTACTTAGCCTAACTGCTGGAGGCTACAAGTGAAAAAGGAACAGTGGAAAAAACCCTGATCATTCTCAGTTCACTCTCCCTTTCAGAATTCACCCTCTGCCACTGTGTGACACAGAATACTGGACTTATAGTATGTCCCAGTAAACAGCAATACTTATATTCCAAGGCTCTGCTAATGTCTGTACACAAAGTCTGGCATAAGCAGTTAGCTTACTGACTGTTAGCATGAGTGTACTTCCATTAAATTAGTATGAAGAGAAAAGCATCATGAAAATAAAGAAATGGGTAGTTATTATTAATCAAATACATCTTAATTCTTCATATTTCTACACCGTTTATCATCTGCTACTCTGAAGAGTTACAAAGTATTTCAGATGTCTTCCAAGCACTGATACTATAAAATGGAACATGTTACACTGTTTTGTTTTTTTTGCCTTTACAACCGCCCCCCCCCAAACTTTTACTTCTGATTAAAAAGCCAAAAAAGCCTAAAACCAAAACCAAAGAACAAAAACAACCCCCTCCCAAACAAAAGAAATTTAAGTGCTCCCTGGAAGAGTACAGCGTATGACTATTGGTCTACAGGTTTTGCTGAACTAGACACTGCTACTTGTGAAGTCTTCAGATATTTGTTAGAGGCACGGTTTATAGCTACCTAAGATAAAATGTATAGTTATTTTATACCTATACATAGCATATATACATATTCATGCACCCATACACACTAATTCTAGTAAGCAGCAACAGCCCTGAAACCACATGGCTGAAAGAAACTAAAGTTGGTGTATTGCAGGGCATCACAAGAGTCTTCAAAAATGACATAGGCAAAAAGACATTCCACAAAGATGACTTTTAGTGGTGTCCTTATTGCTTATTTTAGAAATGAACAACAACAGTATGTTAAGGAAAATGAATGTATTTAAAATCACAACGGGAATAATAGGAAAATTACTGAAGATTTTCCACATACAAAGAGCAAGCAGGCACAAAACTTTTCTTGAAATTCAATGACTTAACTCCCATTTGTGCCTTTGAAAATCTCATTCGAAATGTTAACGATTTGAGTCTTTTAAAATGTATACCTTTCTTAACTCTCTTTTCTGTTATGAATTTATTTAAAAATGCAAGCTATTTTAAAAGCAAAACACTAAGGGCACCAGATTGTAAGTTGAGAAGCATAGCACACCTATTGTTTCCCATCCCTCAGACCCTCACTGCCACACATTTGCATTTTCACAGGCCTCCATGTGGTATTTTGGCTTCTATTCTACCCAAGAGAGCACACAATTCACCAGCAGACTATCTCTACGCCTGAAGAACGGTGTTTGTGCCTGAAAGCTTGCAAATAAATTTTTTTCCAGCTATTTAGTTGGTTTAATAAATCACATCTACCCAAAGAACCTTGTAAGCAATATATACATTGCTTACTTCTATATATGAAATTCACTCAAAAGAAAGAAAGAACATAAAACAACACAATGACAATCCTCATGGCTATAGATACCGGACATCTTTTTGCTACATATCTGAAACAGAAGTTTAAGGGAAAAATCTGCATCCACTTAAATATGTATTCTGCTCCAGCTGCTGGATAAAGTGCAGTCATCCTTAAATGAACAGCTTCAAAACACTGTAACTTGAATAAGTTTTATTACAGACAACATTTATGTTCTTTACTGCATCCACCTGCGACAACATAAACGTTCTCTGTGGAATATTGTCTCTGGTGTCTGATTACTTTTTGTATGACAGCTTCTATGTGTAGACAAGATTTTTGGGTAAATATGGTATCTTTTATTAGATCAACTAAATAGTTGGTAAAATTGTTCTTTGCAAGCTTTCGGGTTCAAACACCCCTCTCCCTCTGCCTGAAGAAGGGTGTTTGTACCCAAAAGCTGGCAAAAACCATTTTTTTCAACTATTTAGTTGGTCTAATAAAAGACATCACATCTACCCAAAGAATCTTGTCTGCATATGTCCTTAGACCAACATGGCTCCAACCAACACCCCCAAAACAGCTTCTATATGTTACATTCATTGTGGTGGTGTCCATCTTTACGTTGTAATAATGTGCTGTAGCTAAAGGCCTTATCTGTATCCTGCTGGGAATACTCTACCTACCTCTGAACTTATCATCTCCACAATAGTTTTTAACTGATGGAATATCAAAAGAAAAAGATGAAGAAGAAAACTGTAGCAATGCTGGAGAGAAAGAGACCTTTGCATAAATTCTTCATTGTATTTTTCTGATATGTCAAAGTCACTGCATCATGGATATGGGAGTCACCATTCAAAATATTTGAAAATGAGAAGAGAGAGAGAGGGAGAGACTGCATGATATCTCTGTGATAACTTGACAATTGATTTTTAGTCTATGGAAGGAAGAGGTTTTTTTTGCTTCCTTCTATGGAAGGAAGAGGGGGTTTTTTCACTTTCATGCATTTATAATGGTGAGTCCTTTAGCTCAATTTCATTTAGGCCAGAAAGCATGACAAAGTGATTTGTTGTGGATCCTAACTGATTTTTTCCCACATTTATTAGAAGCAGTAGCATTTTTTAATCTCCAAAAAAATGTGAAGCTTGTTGCTTACAGAGTAAATTTTGAAAGATTTAGTGTGGAGCTTAGGCATGTGATACTCATTAAAATCTACAGGAGTCGCACTGCTAAAAGCCTGCATATTACTTCGGAAATTTAGCAGATAAAGTCAACCGTGCTTACACCTACCCACATGCTACCTGTTCTGTCTCTAAAGCAGGAGAGTACAGACCTACTGTGAACTATTTTCTATGCAGACAAACTGAGATAACATTTGGATTAGCATGCCTATGATTATTTTCTGGGTGACTTGACATTTTACTCATCATTTAGATTTTAAAAGCAAAATGTTAAAACCCATGAAAATATACAGCAGCAGATGGCAAGGACTATTATTGCATTTCTGAGA